CCGCGCTGGCGGGGCCGGCCATGCCAGCCTGGGTGCTGAGATCCCCCTGTCCCCTCCCCCTCCCGTTTTGTTCAAAAGGAGAATAACCTGCAATATATATATTTTTTTCCTTTCTGGAAACTAATGGACTCCTTAAATAGCAAAAATTGCACCCTGTAATTAAGATCTTGCTTTTTAAATGATTAATCATTCTAACCCCTTCCAGCGGCATCCCACTTACTGCTGCTCTCATATTGAAATGCAGATCTGAGAGGGAGGGAGCCAAGCAGGTCTGCGGGGAGAGGAGCAATTAAATCTTCCAGCTGCCGCTGGTCCACCCAGTCCTCTGGTCCTCCGGCTTTTTTGGGAAGCCCTGGGCATTGTCCATGGAGGGCTTGCTTGGTGTCCCACTCTGCATCTGCCTTTGACCCCCCGATCTCAATCCTTCTCCCCACCTCTGTTCCCTCTTTTTCTCTCTGTTTTGCTCCCGATTTCTGGACTCAGTGACACCTCCTGACCTCAAGGTCTGACCTTCCTTTCCTTGGCGGGCAAAGCCTATAAAATGGCACTTACTTATCCCAAAAGCTGCCTGTCCCTGTCTTCCCGGGTGAAGGAGGAAAGGATGTGAACTCAGGGTTAAGGTAACATCAGCCTGACTTAGCAGAACAGGGTTGCCCATGTGCTTCCACCCCTTTCCCTCTTCGACACACAGAGAGTCAAGCACAGGATTATTTTTACCCTAGTGGAAGTCTCAAGCACACAGAAGAGGTCAGAAGAGGAAGAAAGGGATAAAAACCCCTTGGTCACACACAAACACATGGAGGCGGTAGCCTCGGGGAGAGGGGCAGCTTGTTGCCTCTCCCAGCAGCTCTGCAGCGGGATCACGGTCCCCATCCAACCCGCAACGCTGGGGCCTTGCTCTCTGCGCCAGCCAGCACATATGGATACTGCATATGGGAAGTGAAAGCTGCAGATTAAATGTCCGTGGTTTTGGAGAGATAAAAAGGCTGCGGGGAAGACTGCAAGCCATGAATTTTTAGGCATTCTGGAAATATAGCCCTGAGTCTAACCCATCCCCTGCTCTGAGGCAGGATCAAATATGCCTAGACCATCTCGCACAGGTATCTGCCCAATCTGATCTTAACTCTCTCCAGCGTTGGGGGGATTCTCTACTTCCCCGCTGGCTGGAGAGTTTTTCTAGTCGCATCTTTGGTGCAAACTGAATCTTACTGTGCCCACAGGGGCCATGGAGAACCAGTGATCTGTGCTTGGCTTGTACCAACCAGCAGCATGTCTGAGGATTGCCTCTCTGCCACCTCTTTCTATACCAGTTCTTGCAGAGCTCTCTTGTAGTATCCTCTTACTGTTCTCCTAGTTTTCCCCTGAAGTGGATCCAATTGTGAAAGAAAAATTCTGCAAAAGACACTTGCGAACATGTGCCACCACACAGCAAGGAGTTCCCCACAGCCTTGACACATCACCTCACTCATTCACGCTTTCCCTGGGACAAACTACAGGATGCTTCAGCAAGTAAAACGTTCAGCTATTTTAGAAGCCATAACCAAAAGAAGTTCCTCTAGCCTAAATCCCCCAGCATGCCCTCCCCAAGCTGGAAGAAATTCTTCAGAAGTTTTCTCTCAACATGCAGTTATTCAGCTCAGCACAGTGAAACTATGGGTGGATGAAAGTCAGCCGGAGGAAAACGCTCTCCACTTTCACTCACCGGCAGAACCATTCTGTTGGCTTGAGAAAGGCACGCTTGTTCCTCATGAGGCAGTCCCTACCTGAGCAATAGCTGAAAGGGAAGGACCTGAAACGTGTTTTTCTGATTGAATGCCCTCCAATAAAGCCCCCTTTCTCTGTCATTCCCTCAAGCTTTGCTCCAGTCTCATGGCTTGACTTCAGTGTGGCCAGAACTCGGACCTTCATCTCCACAGGCCAAGAACAGACCTTGTATTCCAGATGTATTTAATTCAGTACAATATATGTACAGATTCACCAGTGCAGGTAACTAGAGGGGGGCACTAGAGTTTCTTTGTCTGAATATCTCCCATCTTTTTGCAACTGATTTTGCTCACATGGAAATAGAGAGGAGACAGAGAAAAATGTGCATCAATGTGAGAAAGGCATTGAAAAACAACAGGACAAAAAGAGAGAGTCTGGGATGGGGACAGGATGCTTCCTATAGAGTAGAAACCAGAGGAGAAAGGAATGCTTTCCTTGGGGGGAATGGGATGAGGGTGCCCATGTTACTTTTACCTTTAAAATGTTCCTGGGCTATGTTTTTGTTCACAAATGTCTCTAGCAGAGAAGATTCCCAGATGATCTAGGGAAGGAAGGGAAATCAAACCCTTCTCTAGATCATCCATCCCACTGTCACTGAGCCACTGGGTGCACTGGGCCCACGCAGTGCTGAGCATGGGAGTACAGCACGGGAAGGATATCCCATGAACTGGTGAGCGTTGTCCATATTACAAGTAAGACGCTGTTAAACTTCAGCATCAGCAGTGTTTCTGCTGTTTCCAGTCTGATGATGAGGGTTATTCTCATATTCTGGGTTACGACGTCTAGATGGCTGTACAACACAACATGCTTCTCACTATGTGCTAACCTTACTGTTAGAGCATCTCAGGATATAAGGCAATACCACTGATGTGGGCAAGGGCAGTTACAGCACTCCAACCTTGTCCTCTTGAAATGGATGCAACTGAAGATGCAAGTAGACCTCTAGCTACCTGGATACTTTTCTCCCCACTGAAGAGTGCTTTGGTCTTTGTGATCACCAGGACCTCTTGTAATGGTGACTGCACTGACCCAAGACTTCATTCCCTATTCCAGCTGGAGCATAGAGGTATTTTTCCCGTGAGGAAATGGAGGTAATACCAACAGGCCAGGTAGTAAGTGATGGGGAGCAAGGCAGAGCATGAGTTGCACTCCCAAAGGAATGACTTCTAGCAGCAATCCCAATGCTGCTTTGACGTCCTTTCTTCTATAGTCTGGATTCTCCAAAACGTCCAAAGATCTTCCAGGATTTTAAAGCCTTCAGTGCCTGGTTTGTTGGTCTTTTAGCCTTGGTCTTGCTGGGAAAACCTAAGCGACCAGCTTGGGAAAGTAAGGCCATTCCCAGCCCTGCAGAGATGGGCCCCAGGTTCATACAGCCAAGAGCACAGTGAGGGTTAACCAGCGGGTAGAGGAGGCGGGTGCAGACGAGTCCTAATGGGACGTGATTTCCAGAGCATCAGAATGAAAGTCAGAAAAATCCAGCAAGCTCTCTATTTATGGATCCCTGCTCCTCTGCGTGGCTCCTTTTTTCTCTTCTTTGCTTTTCTCTTTTTACTTTCTGCCCTGAGTTCCAAGACACAAGAGTCCGGCCCATCCCCAAGCCCCCTCCACACAGTCATTTGCATTTTCACCAGCCTTGATTAATGCCAGAGCCTGTTTATAGAGTTACAATCTCCAAATTAGGTTGCCGAAGGCATCCCGGGCCAGCCCTGGAAAAATCTTGGTGGCTGAAAGGAGCCATAACTAAGCCTTAAGCAGACGTCTTTATTCAGCTGTAATTGACGTTTAACAGACGTCTGTAACTTCGTCTGGACTTTAAAAAAAAAAAAAAAAAAAAGTTCTCCCCTCTCTTTATGTTCCCCCCTTTTATCCAGCAGTCAAAAGTGTAAGAAACCACCACACAG